ATGTGATTGTGATGCTGTAATTCTGAGTGTTTTATGTGCTGCAGAACAGGAACCTACTGTAAAACAGCAATTATGCTGAGTCAGGCTTGATTTTTAATCATCTTTTCCTGTTAAATAAATAAATCAAATCCAATCAAATCAATATATATAATACTTTTCTGAAGTTGTACTTTAGACAGTATTTTCAAATAGGTTTTGTATAGTGTGGATGGTATTCAATTCAGGTCCGTCTAACTAAAATAAAGGGAAAATGTTTCCAGAAATTTCACTCTTAAGGGGCATTTTATAAGGAAGACTAAAACTAATGTGATATAAATAGTATTTATGGAACAATTCAATAAGCTCTCTGTCCTTATACCCATTTACTTTTACATAAACAGCAGTAGGCAGAAAAATACTCTTTAATTGCTTTTAGACTGTCAAAGTTAAAGCCTGGTGTGCTGTTAGAATATTCAGTTTCCTACACCCATCTGCACACAGCCATAATGAAGCACGYTATTGTTGTCCTGATAAAGCTTCCCACTGCATGTCAGAGAGGCTGGGCTTTTTCTGGTGTGAGACCCTGGTGTGTTTCCCTCACGCCAGCAGCTTTATGACCTCATGCCTCGAGCGTGCGTGCGTGCATGCGTGTGTGTGTGTGCGTGTGTGTGTGTGTGTGTGTGTGTGTAGAGGCTTCAGGACTGCCAGCTGTACTGTCAACATGCCTGGAGAGAACAGAAGCTGCCTCAATGGACAGAGAGGACAAAAAGGAGTTCTGACCCAACTAGGACAAGCTGTTTGTGCATTAGCTGACAACCTCGGTACCTCGCATCATTTTCCTCTTCTACTGCAGCTTGCAGTTTCTCTCAACTATTTCAACTTGTGCACCAGTTGAACAAACACGAGCACTAGTTTGAGTAGAAACCATTCTAGTCAGCCTAAAAGTCTCAACTAGTCACCTTTTTATTGCACTAGTGAACCTCTAGACCAAACTAATATGTAACGTCTTATTAATTAGCAAGTGAGCATTGAAAACCTTTAGTTAACACAAAATGTGCTAACAGGTAAGAAGAAACAAAACTGATATAATTAAATAAAAAGCAGAAACATATAAATGGCTCAATAAATAAAGAAATACACTTAAACTGCACCAAATAATTTTAAAAAAGGAGAACTTTGCCTGATGTTTTATAATTAAATTGACCTTCATTTTCATGTGTTGGATTGTTAGAAGCAGTACACTRAAATGAACTGCTGTTCCCATCACTAGCTGCTAAACTGAGGCAGCGCAGGCTCCTTCCTGTCTATTGACCAATAGGAGAGTAGTTGACCCAAGAAGGAACGCCCACCTTATTTGCATCAGGAGGCAGAAATGCAGAAGGTAAAAATAAAAACAGGAGATGAAGAAATATTAAAGTACCACATGAAAATAAAAAGACTTGTGGGGTGAAAAAACAATGCTTCGACAAGTAAAAAGAAAAACAAAAAAT